AGACCAAAAACTTAAAGCAATAGGAAAAAGCACTGGGTCAAAAATTGGGGGTTGAAGAGCGATTTCTAATAAATCAGAAATCCAAGTGCGAATACCTTTTTCGCGAATCGGCCTCAGCGGCAAAGAGTTCAGGAATGGAGGGCTATGAGTGCAAGGGAACAGTTGGCCCACCGCCACTTGTTCGACGGCTTCGGCATTATTGAATGATGGACCCAAGTAGAATTCATTGAGGTCAGCACTAACTTGTGTAAGGAAGTTTGGATTTACATATGGCCTAGTAAGGAGTTTCTGAAAATCTTCGAAACTAAAGGAATCATCAGATTGAGTTTTTGAAGTGGCCATTGGAAACAAAATACAATTTTGACAAGGTTTGCCTGGGAAACGTAGCAGAAAAGCAAGAAGATGAACAATAAAATAGCAAGGAAGAAGCGCGAAGTATAGACGTGGTCAAGTGGTGCAATGAAATGGCGTGTCCTTTTGGTTTATAAGGGTTTGTAACGTTGCACTTTTTCAGATTGTAGAAGTAAATAATGATTGAAATTTTTGGGATTTTCAAATATTGCTGGAAAATATAAAGTGAATATGGCAAAGATTAATAATTAGTATTAATTTTGCCATATTGGGGGGTAATTGTTGACACACTAAAAATGCAGCCCAAATCGAATAGCCCAATTGAGGAATTTCCAAATCAAATAGCCCAAAGAATGAAACTCAATTGGACAATTCAGGATAAAAGTCCAGACAGGGTTATTAATGAATGCAATGGAAGCCCACGAACACAGTAACATCATCGCCCAAACTTGCAAGACGCCCAAGATCTGAGCGAATGGAGTGCCTTACAGTCGCCCAGAGCGATGACCCTGTTTTCGCCCATACCTTCAAATCGTCCAGGATCTTAGCAAACATAAAATGTTATGGTTATCCAGAAATGCAGTTATTGAAGCAGTTATTGAATAACTTTATCACATTCCACGATTCAAGGAACCCAGTTGAAGGCGGTTGAATGACAAAGAGTAGTGGCAGCAGTTAGAGACGGCAGTTCCACGACAAGTTAGCCACCATAAAGAAAATGGGTAGTTATAAAGCAATCAAACAATTTTCAAGCGGTTTGTCACGAAGAAATCATCAAGGGAATATAAAAGGAAGAGAAGACAAAGAGAAAAAAACTCCCGAATCAAACACTCTCAAACAGAGAATATGCAATTTCAATTTTTTAGTTTAAACTTAAACATTTCTTTTAGTACTCGTATGCTTACGCCCCTTGGAGGCATTCTGTTTAGTTCCAATTGTAAATCATCATCAATAAAATACCTCTTTTTGAGACTTTGTCTCAAGAGATTTGTTCCTTACACAATCGTTTGATCTCTTTTTAATTATTAGCGACTACCCGCGCGAGACAACATGTAAATTCAAAAATTTGTATACTTTTTAACCCTCACGTTATTCAAAAATCACAATTAGAAAATCCGAAAAGAAAAATGCTCAAACGGTGGTTGAATGCCATTTGTCATACAATATATAACGTACTGTCTTATTGTTTGCACATATGCACAGGCGCACAGGCATGCATACACACAAGTTTCGTCTGTTGGAGCTCTCCTGCTTTGAACTTCACTCAGATTGAACGTCTCTTTCAATTTTTCCGTTCTTTTCGTTTGTTTTCTTCTTTTTAAGCCGATGTGGGCTCAAACTTAGGGTTTAAATTCATAAAAAAAAAATAATAATAAATAAATTCAACAACCTCTTTGGGCGGCGTCAGTAACGTCAGATCTTAGTGTGTTTTTCATTTTTATAGCGTGAAGCATCAACGATGGCACCAAGAGGAAGACCCAGAAAGGTTTTTACATTTTTATTTTTCATCACGCATCACTTATTTTTTGAATTTTTCGTTTTTCTGCCTACTTCTTGTTTATTTACTGATTGATTTCTCTAATTTTTACTTCGTTTATTATTTTGGTTTTGATATTTAGCCACGATTAATGAGGATTGACGCAGCTGTTGACGCCATGACTTCATTCGGCTTCTCGGAAGAGATAGTACGGAAGACAGTAAAAGAACTTCTCAAGGTTCTTTCTTATTCTTTCTTTCATTTTTCTATTAGCCCTAACCAAAAATAAAAAAAAAAAAGAAGAAGAGGGAAATAAAGAGAAAAATTCAGTTGGGCTTTACTTTATTTAAGTTATTCAGTTTTATATGCATCTCGACAATAAATTGCTCGTCGAATTTATTGACAACGTAATTGAAAAAGAAAAAGGGTAAACAATGAGAACTGAGCTTGTTGTTATCGTTTTTGCTACTGCTAAAATAAATTTCTTCAACATGAATGAAAATGCATAGGGAGTAGAGTAGTGTAGAATTGACAATAAAAGAAATAAAAATATCACTCTACCTGAGAATTTGATCTACAAATGACTATTTCTCTCTTGCTTGCGTGTGTATTTGTTACGTGGCTATGGATGCTAATATGCAAGATTAATTGTCATTTATGAAATGACTATACATGGTTAATATTTTACTTGCATTTTCTTAACTAAGGAATACGGTGGAGATGAAGGATGGCGTTTCATTGAGGATAACTCCTACATAGAACTAATTGAGGCAATTTTTCGCAGTGCAGAAGGAAATAATCAAGAGAAAAGTGCACGACATGAAAACCACACGAAGGTATCGATTGATGGCACTTTTGTATTTCTTTACCTAGTTATGGTTTCGCTTGGTGCATTGAACTTCTCTTATTGTTGATGGTGAGTTTGAATTTTCTAATTATGTATGGTCAATTTTCGTGGAACTTGCCCTTCTCTTGAAATATAAATCAAAAGAAGCAAAGTAGTAATGAGGTGTTTATATGCACCAGGAGTTGAAAGTAGGAAAAAAGTTTTAGATTAATATTTTATTGTGTGATTGTGTGGTTAAAAATAAGTATGTAGAAAAAAAAGAGTTCAAAAATAGAGAAAAGCCTCCTGCACGGGCCCTGTGCAGCCTGTACAGGGCATTTCGCATGGGGGGTGGACCCCATGTGTATGTACCTGTACAGGCTCTGTGCAATAGAGCCTGTGCAGGTAGCATTTCTCTAAAAAATAATGGTTGTCAAACATGTGCTTAATTGCTTGTTCTTCTCTGAAGAGCCTTAATAATCTTGAGTTTTGTACAAAGTATTAGGATATGTCCTTTCTTATCTATCTCTAAGAAATGCCGTTTTGCTGTTTAGAGATGGAACAACTTAAAGAGGAGGAAAGTCGAATCAAAAGTAATAAATTGATATCCTGTTCTCTGTATTATTTGGGAAGAAAGCAGGGATAAAAACCACTTTATAACAGTTAACCGAAGCTGAGAGAAAAACCACTTTATGAATTAATTCCATCAGATTTTCGTGTAATTTAGATGCTTGTGTCAAGGCTTGTTATATGTTTGGGCAGCCTCACTATTTCTGGCATGTTGGGCTAATTAAACTTTTTTGAAATAATTCGGCCCAGTTATTAAACGCGTTTTTGCCTCCATTAAAGGGCTGTGATCTGCCGCACACGTGGCTTACCTATAACTTTGGATTTGAACCGGTTCACCTGGATAGATATTGTACTTGGTCGTTTCATTTTTGGGGTGACTTACTGCATTATGTTTTTTTCTCGAAAGTTCTTTCTCGTTGTGTGAGTTAGGATTTTTCTGAAAATTAGTAACCCTTCGTCTTTGTGATGTAATCTCTGTTTTGATAAGATTGAGGGTTGTTTAGCATAATCAGTGAGAAATTTCTTTGGCTATTGATTTGTGTATAGAGAGGATAGAAGGAACTTAAAGAAATCCCTGATTTCTTCATACATTTGTATAATTTCTTTTTTGATACTAGTGGATTTAGAACTATATCTCTTGGCAGATACTCAACGGGTAAGTAGGGCATTGACCGAACATCCAGACCCCTTTAAGGGTGAAAAATCCTTATGTTCTTGTTTTAAATTTCTGCAATCTTGTTTTTGATTATACGAACGGCTTTACTACGCTCTGGGACCAACAAGGCTGCATTAAAATGTCCAGGTTCCTGTCGTTTATCATTCTGAGTGCAATTTATATGACTTAATTTTTTATTTTTCATTTTCTTTTTTGTTTCCAGGATGCACCAGCTGAGGCTTCTTGTGTAGCTACAGACTCCCTTCAAGTTACTGAAACAGCTGACGGCGCTCTTCTAGATGCTGTTGGGTCCTCTTCTGTGTCACAACTTCCATGCGCAAAAGGTGGTAGTATTTCGCCCCTGTTTGGCTCTCATTATTCAAAAACTCACTTCGGTTATCAAATTCAATTTTAACCACACAATTCATTGGATTTTAAAATGAAATTAGGATTTCGAAATATAGATGATTCATGAAATTTGAAAAGAATGTTCTTTGCAGAATCAAAGATGACCCAAATGAAAATTCATGGAAGGCATCGTCTACCTTGCTTTGGTTGGCTTGAGAGTGATGAGGAAGATGACCCAAATGATTTCGTATTTTTTAATGAGAAAGTAGAATCAACACCAACACTGCATCCAGATTTCTCAGAAGATCCAAAAAATGTGACTAATTCCAATGGCAAACGCAATTCCCCATGGGACGAGATACTTAGTGATCACCATGATACGAGCTTTTTGAACATTAGATAAGCGTTAAAGGGAAGTCTGGAGTTCATCTTCACCAGACCCAAACTTCTCCTCTCGCTTTCGATCGAGCTACTCTTTGCCCCACCGATAGGTTATACACTTTACCGAATCGGTAAGTAAAAAATGAGATAAGAGATGTTAGCATTAGCAGAAGATTTATCCAAGCTGCCTTTCCTTCGGCTTGTAACAAATGCTTTCAGAGGCATGATCGTTTACGCCCGGTCAAAGATGCATGTAGTAGAGACATCCTAAAGATTGTCATACTTAACTCTTATTCCTACTTGACTTGAATTGAATCTCGTTTATAAAAATAAAGACTTGCACAACTCATAAAAAGCCCGAAGTTTCATCCATAACCTAATGATTAGAACTTCAACCCTATGGTACGAAGTCCTCCATCTTTTCGTACATTTGGAGAACTTCCAGCTATTAAAGAGACGAAAAGCTATGTCTATGTGAAGTAAAAGAAGAAAAGGCCACCAGTTTCAAACAAAATTGCACTAAAGAAATGAAAAGGCAAGACAAAGCACAAAACTTAATAATTCAATCGGTGATAGTATTCTCCTGTCAATTGAAGTTAGTTGGATGATGAAGTGACCTCAATTGAAGTAAATATGAAGTCTGGTG